CTGGTAAATCAGTTCTTATATTAGAATCAAAGCCTCTGAGGCAAAGATCCAATACTCTTTCACTAAGGAACCGTCATTCACACACACACACACACACACACACACACACACACACCATAGACTGTTTATATAAATGGACATAGTGTAGTATTAACCCGCTCTACATGATCCTGGTGTTTTGTTTTGGGTTTTTTTCACAATTTTATCCGTTAAAAAAATCCTAATATAGATCCAGGCTCCAGATCGGCTCCTGTGACCGAGAGCATCATAATCTTCATTTGACTGGAGCTGAACTCTGTGGTGACGTCACACTCACTTAGTCCACTTCTTTATTTATCCAGTCTGTGAGTCACACAGACAGTGGCTCCACTTTTCTGCATCACTGTAGGAAAAACAAACGTCTGCACTGGACGTCCGGAAGACTCTGGAAAAAAAAAAAGACGTGATGTGGCGTCACAGTCTGGACGTTCAGTGGGACCCAGACTGGACGAACAGAAATGACACTAAAAGACGTTGTTTCAGCCAGTGGTGGAGTTAGCGGGTTGGGGGGAAACTCGAGTTTCTCTATAATGCACTGTTTGTTTTGGTTTGTTTTTTATATATATTTTTTATATTTATTGTCTGTTACTGAGATACTCACATCTCTATTTGAATTATGGTGGATTGGAAACTTTTTAGTTTGGTCACAAACTAGAAAACCAGAGCTGAAAGTAGTTTAGTTTTTTTGCTTGTACAATTTATATATATATTTTGACATATTTTATTAAGTTTTCAACATTTCAGCATTTTAACACAACACAAATAACAAAGAGCAGTCTGAGCACATGTTTGACTTTTCTTCATTTCTTAAATATTACCCAATTACCAAATATTACCGTCCTGGTCCAACAGGCAAACACAGAGCCTGTTCCTCTCTGTGTAATGACACTGAGATCATGGGGCAGGTCGTCAGGCAGAAGTCGCCATAACTCCATAAAGAAATCATCATTACCTTTCAATTTTGCGCTGACTTAGACTCTAAAAACGTCTTTATACCACTGGGCGACAGTCGGCGGCTTCTCGTGAGTCCAGTGAAACAGCGCACACTTCCGTTAACGAAACAGTCATTTAGCCACCAATTTTAATTTACTTTTGTCTGCCTCAGTTGCATTTTTGTTTACATCCATTACATACAGTGTTGGGAAGGTGACTTTTAAAATGTATTCCCCTACAGATTACACACACCAAAATGTAGTTTGTAACGGGATCCATTAAGTTACTTAAAGTGAGTAATGTAATCTGAATACTTAGTATTACTTGATTTGCTGTAGAGAAGCAAAGACGAGGAAATCGTAACATAAGAAGTTCTGTCTGATAAAAGACAATGAAAAGCCCAGATTTTACTGAACCAAATTAAAAATATTATTGATAGAAGAAGAGACACGTCCACGCAGCAGGATTTAGTCCTGTTAAATCCTGTTTTAGTCCTGTATTAGTCCTGGTTTAGATCTGGTTTAGATCTGGTTTAGTCCTGGTTTAGTCCTGGTTTTAGTCTTGGTTTTAGTCCTGGTTTTAGTCCTGGTTTAGTCCTGGTTTAGCCCAAAATGTGAAAACAGGAAAATACCACCATGTAATTCATTTATTTCAACAAAGAAACTGTAATCTAATTACCACTCATTGAAACAGTAACTGTAACTGAATACAGTTACTCATAATTTGTACTCTGATTACATAACTCCGGTACATGTAATCTGTTACTCCCCAACACTGATTACACATGATTATGATTATGATTATGCTGTGGTTATGTTCAAATCAGGGACAAGCTGACGAGTCCATTCTAACGTGAAAAGGGTGAACACTTTACAATCAGATTCTATTTTGATGGTGTTTTCTTGTTTAAAACTAAAACTACTCTCATTTAATGTCATATTGAGAGAAAATCTAATTTCTCCGATGACTCGATCATTAGCGGCACTGAGGGAAATTGGTTGGGGGCCCTTCCAAGTTCGGGGGCCCCATGCGGCTGCCCACTTTTGCCTAATGGTAGCGTCGCCTCTGGATAGTGGACAAACAGCTCTACTTTACATTTATTCAATTACAGATGGTTTTATAGCTCAAAAATAACGAGGAAAAACATGAAACAATCTCGGTCCGGTTTGGTCTCCGTGAAGATAAAAAGGTTTAATGCCACACTGTGAAACATTCCAGACGAAAACACAATAATAATATCCATGTAGAAAAGAGCATTTGACGGACACTCCCGTAAAAAAGTTACACAGCGCAGCTTTAAATCGTGAAAATTCTCGTTTTTTGCTGGACCCCATCGTGTACTGTAACCTTCGGCTCTTGATGTGCTCCTCTGTCCCTCTCCACAAACAAAAAAAACAAACAAAAAAAACAAAAAAACGCAAAACTAAAACTCACCTTTTCGTAGCAGAACCTCTCCTTCTTCTTCTCTTCCAATCAGGACGAACCGTGTGTGTACCAAAGCCTTCAAACAGCCCCCTCTTGTGGCATGACAGTGCAATTTCCTACTGCATCTTTAAGACTGTTTCGATAAATATTATGAATTCAATGTTGTACCATATTTTGGGGGGAAACCGCGCGTCTCCTTTGTCCACCGAGCGCCGCCGACGGAGCGAAGATGTAAATACGAGGGACAGATTTGTTAAGAGAGAGGCGTTTAAATGAATCTATTTTTGTGGCGGCGCCGGGGGGGAGATGGCGCCCTCTGTTGGACTGTTAGTGGTTTTGTCGTGCACTGATTCTCTGCTCAAACATGTATTGGAAAAACAAACGGATGTATCATTTGCCTTGAATGTAATGTATTATTATTATTAATATTATTATTATTATTATTAAAAGAGTTTGTAAAAGATTTGTTTGGTTTAAATGTTAATGTGACTGTGTGAAGTACTGTTACTTTAAAATATATTACTCAAGTAGTAGTAGTAGCAGCAGTAGAAGTAGCAGTAGTAATAGTAGCAGTAATAGAAGTAATAGTAGTAGCAGTAGTAGTAGTAATAATAGTAGGAGTAGTAGTAGTAGCAGCAGTAGTAGTAATAATAGTAGGAGTAGTAGTAGTAGCAGTAATAGAAGTACTAGTAGTAGCAGTAGTAGCAGCAGTAGCAGTAGTAGTAGTTGTAGTAGTAGTAATAATAGTAGGAGTAGTAGTAGTAGCAGCAGTAGTAGTAATAGTAGCAGTAGTAGAAGTACTAGTAGTAGCAGTAGCAGTAGCAGTAGTAGTAGTAGTACAAGTAGAAGTAGTAGTAGCAGTAGCGGTAGTAGCAGTAGTAGAAGTAGTAGTACAAGTAGTAGTAGGAGGAGGAGGAGGAACAACCGGAGCAGCTCCAACGCACCCACGAGCTCATTTACACAATATTTTACTATAACATTATTTACCTGTGCGGCTCTGTCCTCAGATTTGCCCAAAACTAACGAAAACAATCCTCTTACCTTCTCCAGACACTGATGCAGAGAGTTTCCTCCTCCCTCTGTCCTGTTGGTGTCTCCAATATGAAGAGATCAAACTGGTCCAAGTCTCGGTCCAGTCTGGTCCGAGACACAAGGTCCAGGAGCCGAGTGCACGAGCTGGTTGTAAAACTCTTAATCTCACTTCCCACTTAAATCTAAAAGTTTGGGCCGGTCCATATTAACACCAGGACTCCAGGTGGACTTAAGCCCTCTGCGCTACATCCACTCCACTTTTACACCCAGAAACGAGCGGGCAGAGGCGGACAGAGCAGCGAGTGACTGTCCCAGCCCCGGCAGCGCCTGCCCCGGGTCCCAGCGGTGACAGCGGGTGCTGCTCCCCTCGCTCTCTCCTCTGTGAAGTCTCTATCCGCCATTATCCAGTGTGCGAATCAATAAGAGCTGCAGGATTCCACCGCAGCCAAATGCTTCATTTCAGTTTAATGCTTCTTTTCTTGATTGGCAGAAGGGTCCCGCTGACGACAAGACATATTACTCCCTAAAACTGTTCCTCGAAGGCACTTTGACTTGAAGTTGAACTCGTCATAACTCCTGTAGCACACACCTCTGTTGTCATCTGCTCATGAGCCTGTAGCAGTGACACGCGTCAGTGCAGAGTCGGGGCGGGACAGAGTATTTGCTTATATTTGTTATGACCACATGCTCATGAAGACCCGGAAAATGTCATGATATGATCCCCCCCATATCTCGATGAAATATGATTGGCTAAGACAACTGTCAATCTCAAAATCATCCCCACATTGACTTGTATTGCACGGGCCATACTTCAGAACATTCTCCATGGAAATATCTGAGTTTGTTGGAGCCAAAACAACATTTCTACTGAAACAATTAGGAGGAGGCCAAATAAGAGTCAGGTTTGTGGAGATGCGAGCCCCATCACAGAAAGAATACATGTTTTTAAGTTTAAAAAAAACACAAGTCAAAAAAATGTTCTTTGTAGAGCTTCTTTCATTCACACAGACAACTCAAAGTGCTTTAAATTAAAAATCATAATCATAAGCCAAATATAAAAGTTTAATCAGTATAAAAGATCGTGACAGTTAAAAACATTCAAGTCAATAAATATACGAATTAATGAATAGCAATTTTAAAGAGATGTGCCTTTAGTTATAAGTAATGGGCCCTATTTCAAGACACAAGTAAAATAAATAAAAACTTTAAAAAGCTTTTATTTTAGTTTGTTTTGGCCAAAAAGTTACATACAAGTAAATGGGAAATTTTTTATTGATTTATTGTCGGTAAACACCTCTATTTAAAGTTTCCTTGACAACGGGAGGAGACTGGCGCTCAGAGATGATTTTACCAGGAGAGATACCAACTTTCGGTTCAAATACAAAATAATTGCGTCTTTGATAATAAAATATTACGTATTTACCGACGCTTCTGCTTTAATTATGTATCTTCCACTTTGAAAATAAAAATAGTAGATAATTTCAGTTAATTATTGGCTATATTTGTGAAAAAAAAAAACGACTGAAAGAAACCACGTGACGAACGGGCGGAAGTACGTTGACGCGCGTCATCTCTGCTCTACAGGATCTCTGGAGTCACCGTTGCCACATCACAACAATAAAACACCGGAGCAAACTTCACATTTCTGCGATCGGACGCCTTTTTCCTCCGGTATTTTTCACTCTTTCACTGAACGCGAATCTAATTCCTCAGATAGAAACCAAAACTAGTCACGATTTCATTTAAAACAGCGGAAAACCTGCATGATGATGTGTTTACGGTGCAAAGCTAGCGGCTAAATGCTAACCTGTTTAGCTCCAGTAGTTTTCGGCGTTTATCTGTAATTTTATATTAAAATTTACTACAAATATTCGATCTGTGCTAAAGTTAGACGTTTGTATTTTATTTAGATTAATTTAAATGGAAAATATTAGTTTGTTGCATTCATATTTGTGATGCTCAACGTGTTATCAAAAAGCAAAGTTAGTAAACATATGGGAGCGTGAACTTCAGGAGAATCTAAAATATACAGAGACCAGACGTCCCTGTTGACCCGGGACAGTCTCTATTGACCCGGGACAGTCTCCATTGACCCGGGACAGTCCCAGTTTTGAGCCTGTGTCCCCTGTCCCAGCAGATTTATACAAAACCACTGATTTGTCCAGGTTTTATACAAGATTTGTCCCAGGTGTCCCTATTTTGTATCAATTTGTTCTAAACCAGGTCTAAATTAGGACTAAACCAGGACTATATCGGGTTTATTTCAGTTCTAAACTAGGACTAAACCAGGTCTAAACTAGGACTAAACCAGGACTATATCAAGATTATTTCAGGTCTAAACTAGGACTAAACCAGGTCTAAATTAGGACTAAACCAGGACTATATCAGGATTATTTCAGGTCTAAACTAGGACTAAACCAGGACTATATCAGGATTATTTCAGGTCTAAACCATGACTAAACTTGGGCTAAACCAGGACTATTTCATGTCTAAACTAGGACTAAACAAGGTCTATTTCAGGTCTAAACCAGGACTAAACTTGGGCTAAACCAGGACTATACCAGGTCTAAACCAGGTCTAAACTAGGACTAAATCAGGACTATATCAGGTCTATTTCACGCCTAAACCAGGTCTAAACTAGGACTAAACCAGGTCTATTTCAGGTGTAAACCAGGACTAAACTTGAGCTGAACCAAGACTATTTCAGGTTTAAACCAGGACTAAACTCGGACTAAACCAGGTCTATTTCAGGTCTAAAGCAAGACTAAACTTGGGCTAAAATAGGGCTAAACCAGAACTATTTCAGGTGTAAACCAGGTCTAAACTAGGACTAAACCAGGAGTATATCAGGATTATTTCAGGTCTAAACCAGGTCTAAACTAGGACTAAACTACATATAAATCAGGGCTAAACCAGGACTATATCAGGTCTATTTCATGTCTAAACTAGGTCTAAACTTGGACTAAAATAGGACTTTTTCAGTTCTACACCAAATTGAACTTGAGTTGAGAATGGTCTCCATGGAGATATTACTAAATAAGCAAAAATAATAATAATAATTCCGTTACATATATTTTTTAATCAGGAAAAGTACTGCGATTATGTTTAGACTTGTGATTTCTGTTTTAATTGTAGGATTCTGTTCAAAGTTTAACTCGTGCACAGAGTGAAAGTGCGAGCGTCTGTGGTGTTGACTTGGACTGTGAGCTGGTGATAGGACGTTCTCTGCTCTCTGGAGATAAAACTCTGTGCAGATACTCGTGACCTCTGACCCGCCGCCGCCGCTGTTTAACTCCTTCATGTCAAACGTTTGTGAAGCAGGAGACAAATGCAAAATCGTGTTTACAGAGAGCGCTGGAAGCTTCTGTGGTTCCTGTTCTGGTCTGAACCGTCTCCGAGGTTCAGCTTCCTGTTCAGAGACGAGGACGTTTAAAAGAGACGATTTTATTTTAAATACGGAAAAGGATGTTAAACAGGGTTCATTTTTATCACCCTGAAATCCATGGAGAATGTTAGAATGATGTTTTTATAATTAACCGATTTCTCTCTCTTCTGTCTTGTCTCTCTCCTCTCTTGTGTGTGGGTCTCTCTCTCTTGTCTCTCTCTTGTCTCTCTCACTCTCATCTGCCTTGTCTCTCTCTTGTCTTTCTTTTCTCTCTTGTCTCTCTGTCGTCTCTCCTGTCTCTTTTCTTGCTCTCTTGTCTTTCTTTTCTCTTCTCTCTGTCATCTCTCCTGTCTCTTTTCTCACTCCCTTGTCTCTCCTTTCTCTCTTGTCTCTCTCTTGTCCCTTTCTTGTCTCTCGTCTCTCTTGTTTCTCTTGTCACTTGTCTCCCTCTTGTCTCCCTTCTCTCTCTTTTTTCTTGTCTCTCTTGTCTGTCTTTTGTCTCTCTTTTCTCTCCTGTCTCTCTCTTGTCTCTCTTGTCTGTCTCTTTTCTCTCCTGTCTCTCTCTTGTCTCTCTTGTCTCGCTCCCTTGTCTCTCTCTTATCTCTTTCTTGTATCTCGTCACTCTTGTTTCTCTTGTCTCTTGTCTCTCTCTTGTCTCCCTTCTCTCTCTTTTTTCTTGTCTCTCT